AACGCGAATTGGCGTAACTATAGTATTATCTAAAGTTATTGAATTACTGCTATTATATATACCACACTTAAACTAACAGTTCTATTTTCTGTTGGTCTTCGCGGAGCTACGGGCGGATTGTGAAGGGTGGTCGTCGTTGTGATCGTTTTCCCCACGGGATTGTGGACATTGGTACCCAGGATGGTTCCCCCACAGCCAATTCGGTTACATCGGTGAGTGTAAGGGCAATTGGGTCGTAATGAGCAAGATCTACCCCTGTTGTAGCTGTGGCAAATTCCGTCCCTCGCTGCCCCAGCTTTGTTTGAGGGTCCGTTAGAAAAAAGGGAATAATCTTCCCGCAACTGAGTAGAGCTAGCGGCGAAAATACGCAACCATAACTGCATGTCAATGTTGGCCTACAACAATGTTCGACACGCGGCGGCTTTATAGCGAAATTTATGATCATATATGCACCAGCCAAAACCGCAATGCGTTTTTGCCGCATGACGGATGGTTTCCATGCACTGTAAAAGTTCTGATGCACGATTTGGAAATTTTTGTACTATGATTAACATATACGTGTTGAAAGCGGTTGTCCACTCTTCAATGTTAGTCAGCACTTGAGGCTTGCGCGGCGTTAATGAGATTCCCGTAGAGGAAATTGTGAAACCCACGTTGTCAGAAGAATCGGAACCAACATTTAACTTACTTAAATTTTTTGGCAATAATTTAGCAAGCTCAAAAAACTCACCACTTTCGATGTCACGAACGTATTTGTTTGGAATCTCTGGCGTGAATCCCCCATCTGCTTGCTGGATTGAGGCAACAGGTCCATGGGATGAAGTCGGCTGCTGCTGGAGCTCGCTGGAACTTAAAAATGGAAATTGACCAAGCTGTTCTAGCCTTTCGAGTGGCGTTGGCGGTGGTGGGATAGTTGGCTGCTCATCTACACGAGTCGCGGTTGTTGTGGCGTGTTGGCTTTCGAAGAAAGACGAAATCGACTGCGAAACAATCTGCGTGATCTGTGCCAGTTGGTCGGCGCTGAAGCTTTCCCTTGCGTTGGAATTAGATAACGTGTTGTTTACTGGAACGGTTTGAATGTTGGATTGCGGCGTATTCGTGTTTAGACGTTCTCTTTCGTTTTGTAGACGGGTTGTAAGTACCCGTCGGCCGCCAGCGCAGGAAAAGTTGAGTTCGCGGCAAAGGTTCTTCAACTCTAAAATTGATAACTCGCCCAAATTGCTCGGTACTTCGACGGACGGTTGAATACTGGATGGTCGTTGATCCTGCTGACGAACTCGTGATCGTGGTTTGCTAACTCTTGGCATTATTTTTGGTGGACGGTTAGAAATGATAAACGTGAAACGATTAACTTTTTAAATGACTTTTTTTTAAATCAGTCTTTACAGCTCGCAATCCAAGTAAGAATGATATAGGCAGATAAAGCTAACTCGGATATCTGCCCATGTTTAACTATAGTTTCATTGTTATAGTTATGAATAGGTCAAACATAGTGGTTTGGACAATAATTAATAAACGATACTAGGTGCAGTAGCCTACGGGTTTGGCAAGCAAATAATGAAAGTCTGTGATAGAGTCTTCCTTTGTTTAGACAATAGTAGCTTTCGAGTTGGCTTAACATAGACATTTTAAATCTATAATTTTTAGGTCTAGCGCATTGAGTATCGTCCATTAACAATAATTTGTACTCGTAAAAATTACCATTTAATGGCTGTCGATCGTGTTCAACATGCTACGCCACTGATGGTGATAGTTTATGCTATGTCCCTCTGACGTTAAGCCATTTAGTTATAGTTTGCTCTGCCCTGGCTAACGCGCTGGTGAGAAAATCCAATTTCCTACTTCTTGCTAGCTTCAAAATCTGAAGAAACATCAAGATTAGAAAAATAATAGATTTCCACTTTTATTCCTTTTCCAGATTTGACCTCAATTGATAATGCAGAAGAAGGTAAGGCTATATGGATATTAGAAAATACCAACCATATTACTAGCTTTGAATAATATGCTGTAGCCGAATGTACATATTTCCATTGTAATGATTTAGCCGAGAGTATTGTATGCCCATGCACTTTTATTCTGAGACTCGTTTTGGTAATTTGGTATATTCTGCCTTTCTTGACTTTGGGTTCCGCTATCTACATTTATTACAAGCCCCCCTTTTCAAGATGGTATGAGACCTTTTCCCTTCGATAGCTTCTAAAATGCTCTTTCTTTGTCTGAAAGAGTTTTTAATATTTTTTTCTATATGTGCAGTTGTCTTTCTAAAATTGCATGTGTTCAATTAAATAAAGCCATGCCGGACATTTGACAATAGTAAATTCAACATATCAATCGGGACATAATTGTTCGTTTTTTTTTAATTAAGAGCTACATTCTCCACAAGAGTTTGATCCTGAAGTTAAAAAATTTGCTTCATGTTACTAAGCGAAAAAAGTGTTAGAAGAATACATGTATCTTTATTGATTTTTATTCCATTTTCAGACGTTGATAAATTCCATTTTTTGCAATTAGACCAGCGCGAAAAGGCTGCCGTTAAATTTGTAGCATTATAGTTTTGTATAGTATAGTATAGTACTTTTAATTTTATTTAACAGGACTGCACTTCACTATTTACTGGTTTTCTCAAACACTTCCATATCGATCCTGACCTTCTGTTCGTCTCTTGCTCCAAGTACTTCAAGAACCAAATGTTCGTCGATGATAGAATTTTTTAAATGCTCGGTTCTATAGCTTAGGTTGTATATAGGTACTGAAGGATACCACTACGAGCAGTTGTTGTTTTTTGGCGGGAGGTCTATTTTCCATAAATTGGCGAATGTTCATGAAATTATACCCGATGTTTAAAATATTGTCCTTATCATAAAATTTCCCCCGCTTCGATCTAATATATTTCCTTCTTTCTTGATGTTTAAATACAACTAATTCTTTTGTAATTTCTTTCTAAATTTGTCCAACTTCCTAACGACACAAGCATCAGCTAGGTTAAAATGCTATCGCATTTAGTACCAGAAAACGGAGATCAATCTCTTAATCAATCTCGTTCCCAGGGCTTTCGTGTGAGGATGAGTGGCGAGACGAGAAAGCCCCGGTCTGGGCAGGTCAATTGACATTTAACAAAAATAAATTCAACATATCAATCGGGACATAACAATTCAACTATATATTTTTATGATTGTTGTGTACGAGTATATTTTTCAAAATAATCTTTTGAAGCAAGACGTTTTCCGAGTTTTCCCGACTGCATGATTTACTTCCGCCTATAGGCTGGTAACAAAACTCAAAAGCCGTGTCGAAGCGCGCTGTGATGTTTCCTGACAAAACAAGATGAACATCTACTATTACACAGTAAATTTCAGGGAGTTAATTTAACTCTAGTGGTATTATTTTCAACCTAATTTTACTCCACATTTGGAGTTAATTGAGGTACAGTATAACTCCACCGGAGTTAAATTAACTCCCCGAAATTAACAGTGTAATTAGCGGTATGTTTTCCTTGACTTTGTACAGCATTTATAATGCAGTGCAGATATATGCATGATGAAACACTACGCTCATTGCATTGTAGTAATATTTTAATTTACAATATTCTATACTGACAAATAAAAACAAGACAAACAATTAAATGAAACTACTAATTTAGGCCATGTTTACCTAATAGCTCTACGCCTAGGCTATGCAGTCTGCACAAGATTCGCTTGTCATGACACCGACTTTTACGGCAGTTTCAGAATATCCCGAATACTTGAAAATTGTGATATGACAAAATAAAGCAAAGATTGTGAAGGAGATAAAATTTGAGGCAAGCATTGCTCATGCACCACAAGTGTCGGTGTTCAATCCGTATATTTATATATTGTGCAGCGCGAACAGGCAGTTTCAGAATATCCCGAATACTTGAAAATTGTGACGATATGACAAAATAAAGCAAAGATTGTGAAGGAGATAAATTTGCAGGCAAGCATTGCTCATGAACGGCAAGTGTTGGCGTTCAATCCGTATATATACATTTATTGCACAGCGTAAACAGGTTACGCAAGGTTTTATATTTGTGATTATTTATATCGAACTAAGTATAAGAGCATATTTAAACTAAATAATATTAAAGGCAAAGCCACAATGTTCAAGACGACAGAAAGCAAATTTCGTGTGAATCATCACTTGGAGACACCTAGATGCACTTGGAAATCATGTTGAGATACATGCAGTTGTGCCTTTGGCTTCGCCTGTCACTGTGGTTGAAAATATCCGGAAATATCAGTATAGCTTAGAAAACATCGACGGTGTCTTCAGAGATTTCAGCTGATTCGTACACATAAATAATATCGATTGAGAAGTGTTTTGGCTCTTTATTTGGTTCGCAAACTTGTATATTCAGTTAAGAAAATCTCACTTTCCACTCCTTGACGAGTAGATGTCAAATATATCCATATTTTGGTTAGTCGCGTGACCTGCCCGAACCAGGGCTTTCTTCTCTCGCCCCCCCCCCCCCCCCCCTCACACGAAAGCCCTGGGAACGAGGGTGTCCTTTGATAACAAAAAATCAAATAGTAGAAATCTTAAAAGAGAATTATTCTCGTACATTTTTAAGACTTTTTTTTCGTTCAAAAACAAAGACTTTTGTGCACTTCAAATGCATTGTCTGTATTTTTTGCAGCCGACGATCAAGTCGAATATGGAATATCGAAAAGAGGCTGGGGGAGAAGTAAGTGACGCCAGAAATTAAATAAATTAATTTTTTGGTCACTTTCATCTAGATATCTTGAAATCATACTATATATCTCAAACTTCGACTGTGGACACTTCTCTGATACAGGAAACGGACGTAGTAAATTGAAATTTCATTTTTCTCCTGCCAGGGGCTTACGTTTTCATCATCGTGTTGATTTGACAGGCAAACATCAATGTTTGTCTGTCAGCACTACAACTTTAAAAATATCAAACGTTTCTAATTTCATATAAAATTTAACCTCATTATTTGAGGCACTGAATGATGCGGTGAAGATCGTTCATGTTTGTTATATATGCCTTACATGTCCAGCCATGATTCCGTGGCTCGCCTGCGTTGCAGACGGTCAACTTGCCGGCGAGGCTAACGAAGGGAAATAATGCAGTCTGCCGGATTTAATTGCATGTAGTTTGTATACCGTTCGGCTAAAGCATACTACATTACTTATTTAAACAAGCATCGCCATCAAATCGAAATATCAATGGTACGGTAGTTCGCAATAGAACGACGTGTGTTTTTAAGATAAAACTCAATCCTATATACTGCAGAAACAAGTGCCGTTAATTTCTACAATACCGTGAATATAGCCACTTACCGTGCGTCTTACAACATCACAAGTATAGGCAAATTGTAACTAGTTTGCCAGTATAAAATTGGATTAGACGACCAAATTGCAAAGCAAAATATGGAGGCGAAAATCACGAGAATTCGTATGTTATAATTCGCTTTTTTACGCAAAATTAAATCTTATAAGAACGTAGTCACCTTATTATATACAGAGCGTCGGTTTGCGGTACGTTTTGAATTTGACTTTGAAAGGACAATTTCATTTGGATCAGTATAGATGGCGTGCATGAAATATTTTATTCGCTTCTCTTAATCTAGAATTGCATGTAGAGCATCTTTTTTAATCGAAATCTTTAAAATGAAAAAAATAGACTAAATTCTAAAGAACGAATTGCATGTTCCATGTTTTATAATGAAACAACCCGCATGACTTGGAATTGGAATTTTTCACACCAGCCAACGATTGTTTTTTCTTGCACATTTCCAAGCACCAATGTATTTTTCTGTTTATTATGTTAAGGACAGTCTTTGAAAAGCGATAATTTTTACAGAGAAGCGATAATTGAAAAGCGATATTTTTCACATGATTGTGAGATTTATTGACCGAGCATGAGGTCTGTACTGTGAAATATCAGACCGACGTTTTTTAGTATGGACCGAGCGACGAAAGAGCGAGGTCCATGCAAAAAACAGAGGTCTGAAATTTCACAGTACAGACCGAACAAGCGAGGTCAATAATCGTTTTATTACAAGGCTGAACTGGGTCTGTGACCATATGCTTTTCGCGCGAATTAAATCGGCTATCGTCAGTTTCACTGGGTAACAATATACGGTAGGCATGCATGCATGCTCAATCAAAAACAATTTTGTTGTTTGAAATTTTTATCTGTAAATTTTAATGACAAACAATCGGAAAATTAAAAAGCAAAAATTTTTTCTGTTTACAAAGCAAAAAGATAAAGATAAACGACATCCGGGACACCGGTCCAGATACGGAAAATACGGACCACGGTTCGGATATGGGTTTTTCCGGGCAGCTTGTCAACCAATCAAAAAAGATAATTTTGAAAACCCATATAATAATACTTGCATATGCAGTATATGCCCTTGTAAAAATCTGGGTCAAATCTAGAAAAAAGGAAAAACATTACTCAAAATCTTAATACCAATTTTTATACAAAAACCTTCAAAACAAGGTACCAATTCTTTGAATTAAAAAATTGTGAAACAAACTAATTACTCACGAAATTATTTGCTCTCCAGTTTGCCTACTTGCAAATTTCTCCTGCGACATTTGATTGGATACTAAATATAAACTTTGCTGTTGGTGGAAAGCGATCGGATTATAAGATTTGCTATATTTCTAAAATAGAGCCTGATCTCACATATTTGTAGCCTTTGGTTATATCAATAGAACGTCGTGACGTATTTCATATCTCTCTCAATATTTAAATCATTCTAAAAGTAAACGAGCAGGGGAGACACCCGACTGTAAAATAACACAATCAAAGACATGTCAAACTAGTAGGTTAAGATCGAGACACTTTTCATAAATACTACCGTACTATATGCTACATTGCAATTTACGGCTACAATCCTGGTCAAAAATATTGGCGCACTTGACACTGACTGTACGAAATTTGACTCCCACATCAATAACAAGCATAGCAACCCCCTTTTCCCCCGTTCAATGTTCTGTGTAGTGTGTTATATGTCCAAGGTGTTACACAACATTGATAAGGGCGATAAGGGATGTTTGGACATGAAATTTTGCATAAAATGGGCAAGTATGTATATGGTAATCAGAAATGAAGTAAAGGTTATGCTATTTCGACTAAGTGCGCTAAGGATTTTTGACCAGGATTGTAGGAACATTTAGGAACATACACTCGATTTTTTTATATTGTATTACAAGAGTACATACACACATACATGCATAATACTTTATTTTGACACCGTAGCCTCTTCAACATCAGCTGTTTTTCATGAGGGGCGTGTTAACTAACTAATTACACAAATAATATATACAAATTAAAGTTACATGAAGCATACAAAGACTAACAGGTAGACAAAAATATATAAACGAAACAAATAAATATTATTGAGGACAGGTCAGCCTCACCTCGCCGTAGATTTTATAATTCTCTTGAATAAATAAACGGAATCAGCGTTTTTTGCTTCAATAGACAGATTATTCCAATGGATAGCTCCATTATATTTAAAACTTATTTTAAGAAATTATTTCTTTGGTTTTGGTAATACTAGATCAGTTTCACGATTCTTAAGATCATAAGGGGAATCGCCTTCACTGCATTGTCGAAATAGTTGTTTTAAATTTGGGGCGGCATGATCTTTAATTATTTTATACATCTAAATAGATTTTGTATTGTTGCGTCTCTGGTCTAAGGATTCCCAACCTAACATATTCAGCACATCAGCAGATCGAATATCAAAAGTAGATCCCGTTATAACTCTCGCAGCGAGATTCTGCAATCTTTGAAGCTTTTCTCTAAGACCACTTCTACAATTGTCCCAAAAGAGTGCTACAATATTCAAAGTACGTACGGTTGCACCAGGGCATTATATATCAGCTTAAGTGTTTCTACTGGTACAAAAGGCTTCATTCTTCTCATAATTCCAATTGCAGCGTCAATTTTCGCGCAAATATTATCTATATGTTTTTCCCAAGTAAGCCTTTCATCCAGGTCAGCACCCAGGCATGTGTAGTTTTCCGTCCTGGGGAATGGTAAGTTATTAATTAAAATTGGCTTCTGAGCAATTTTGTTTTTAACTCTTTCTCAGCGCGTGGTTTCGCATTACATTACGATTCAATTTTTCTAATGTAAATATCTCGGCGAGTATTTACCCCCCCCCCCCTTTAAAATAAAACCCACCATTGAAATCCTCATAAAATAACCTTTCGAACGGGGGTCAAGTGCTGTCAAAACATTACAGAAACCGAAACAATCATATATTTATACTTCACCGCTTCGCCAAACATTAAAACGGGAAAAGAGAAAAAGGTGAATATTTTCTAAACCTTTCGTCATTTTCTGAAAGGCTATGTGAGTAAAATACTCTTTGTATTCAAGCGCATTCGTGTAGAAAGTTTCGTATGAATACGGCGAGTAGAAATATTTATTTTGAATTTTCCAAAGTATCGGCTTTTATTCGCACGCGCGTGTATTACGCAATACTTGGCCAATAAGGAGCTCCTTTAGCCTGGATGACGTCAAACTCACGCGTATAGGTGCACTTTGACCTGTAGAATCCATTTCTGGCATTTCCAGAGACACGCGATACAAACGTGGCATTGTTTTGACGATATTTAGTCGTATTTCCGGTTGGGATTAGCGCAAATTCAGGCCAGAAATGTAAAATTCGGCACTAAAAGTCACACTTTAAAGATAGAAGCTTGAAAATAACACTATACATGGTATTTTCAATGCTTAATTCATCAAGAATATCAAAATGAGCATACGTCTCAAGGGGCCGAAGTTATGTTCGGCGAAAGGTATGTTTATGTTTTTATAATTTGTTGGTAATAATGCGTAATTTGATCATATACGATCTCGCTTTACTTTCAAAGCTCATAAATCGCTATAATGTTGCCATTGACTAAAACTATCGTTACGAATGAAGAGATTTCGTTACACTGAATCGAATGGTGGTATTTTTGTCCACATAGCATTCAACAAACCGAAGATATGACATGTCAAAGTCGTATTGCATGAGTGCATTACGATAATAGGGTCGCGCTGAGAAAGAGTTTTTAATATTAAAAGACGATCCAATATACATATGTTTTGTCATTGTGAATGAATTTGAAGCTTATTTTGTAACACTCTATTTACGAACATTTTCAAGATCAGAGTTTATACTCCGTGGTTTTAGTGATGATAGACATGGTATTCCACTCATTTTTTGTTTTGCACCCCCTCCCACAAATGTTAATTCGTCTCATACCCCCAAAGGTTAGATAATTTGTTTCATACCCACAACTCCACCACCTAGTACACATACTTTATGACCGGTCTCTAACTTGCAAAATTGTTGTGTTTGAGTATTATTGCCCCGATTACCTTAATTTCTGCATACCAAATACACTATTCACTCCCAGTTTTTAAGTCAGTGATCTGACGAGTTTCATTTATTAGGACGCCGCCGGGGACGCCAAGGATCACCAGGATTTCCTGGACCACAAGGACCGAGAGGGTACAAAGGAGACAGAGGGTATCCCGGATCTCGTGGTCCACGCGGACGACGTGGACCTCAAGGACCACCAGGACCAAAAGGGTCCAAAGGAGACAGAGGGTATCCCGGATTAACTGGTATACCTGGACGTCCAGGTAAAAACTTTGGAAATGTTTATGCTGAAACGGCCGACTGTTGACTAAAACGTTCGGTTTTTTATTGTTTTATTTATACATGGGGAAGCGGCTGGCCCGCTTGACAAAATTTTGACTCAGCTTTCCGGAACATGGTCGTCGGGATAAAGACATCAAAAGATTTGGGGAATTTTTCATGTAATTTGACGATTCTTTCATAGCGTTGTGCTTATTTTGTGCGGAAAGGCATCAAATACGGTGCTAGGGTAATGCATATCGAGCTATGCATTTATATTGTCTACTTTAATTAAGTGACCCAGAGTGTATAGCGAAATTATGTTGATAGTTTGTCGTTGTTGAAACGTTTCTATTATGATATTGCCATGGCGACTGTCAGTTTTGGCAGCTGTAATTAATTATAAATACTTGTTTCTAAGTTGAAACAGCACTTGGGAATTGTAGGGTCTATTATTTGCTTGTCAAAAGGAGGGAAGGTTCGTTGCATGCATTTAATGCTAATATTCGATAAGAATAATAGTGTTAAACTAAAAAGGCGCAATAACAATTTGAATTGCAGCCTGCGTGTTTGGGCACTCGTTGGAACAATAAGGACGAACTAAGAATAAGGGCCAAAAGCTGGATTTTCTGCAGTGGAAAAGAAGTCATGCTATGCAAATTTTTAATGATTCACCTTATTCAAATCATTAAAAATATGATTGTCTTCAACCTATTTAGATGCAGATTTATTAGCATAGCCTAACCATGCAGTTGCCATGGCCAGCTTCGCAACTGCCTTTCTGCTCCAACTAGGGCCCACCACACAGACTATGTGAGTTAATAACATTGAACGATAAATAAACTGGAAGGCTAACTGCTATGATGAAGGCCTATGATTTGATGAAGCCAGGATAGTTTTTCTGAGTTATGAGCAGAAATACTTGACCCCAAACGTTGGGCTGTATATATCAAATTGAAGCTATTGAAAATTGCTATTCGGTGTGGAAATTTCAAAACTTCAGCGGAAAGAAAAATATTTAAAAAATACAAAAACAACTGCAAAATGACAAATTATCGGTAATTTTGTTTGTAGTTTTCCAATATTTCCCTTTAGCTAACGTTTTGAAATTTCTACACCAAATAGCGTTTTTCAATAGCTTCAATTTGATATATAGCCCAACGTTCAGTGTTGAGTATTTCTGCTCATAACTCAGAAAAACTAAAATGCACTGGCTTCAATTCCCCCCCCCTGAGTTAGCCTTCCAGTTTATTTATAGTTCAATGGTTAATAATCGTCGTGCAAGATGCTCACAGCTATTTTGCTAAAAAACATCCATTAAGTGATATTTATAAGCGATAATCTTGGAAAATTTTTATTAGATGTAAATTGTGTTAATTATTCTCGACCTCACAATTGTTTTATCACATTACTTGCAGGCAAACCAGGAGTTTCTTCCAAACCAAATTGTCAAGTTGTTACTGGTAAAAGGATAGTAACCTGTCCCAGAAATAAACGTGCATTTGCTTGCGTAGCAAGATGTGGTGGTCGTGCTGCTACCAATGCGCGTACCTGTACTTCTAAGTGCAGAAACGGCAACGTTAAGGCGTTATGCTGCTAGCAATGTCGGTTATACCTGAACGAAAATGCGCATTTAAAGGACAGACCATGGTAAAAATAGAAAAACCAACCTAAAGATAGACTTTGCATAGCTTAAGTCACATATATTAACATGTGAATGGTATAGTAGAATATGGTTGTAACAGCATTTTGTTAAATAAATTTGCATTTAAAAATATTCAAACGGTCGTTAAAATTTCCTAACCGATAAATTCGTGCACGTGATACTCCTCATCGGCTTGTTCCTATCGAATAATTTGTAATTGTTTCTGACTGCCACAAAACGTCCAATATATGCTGTCATGAAAAAAAGTCATGAATAAAAGCCTTTCTTTGATTTAGATCTTTAATTTAAAGTGCCTATGCGACAAATTCTTTTATGAATGAATTGGAAAGTTCATTTAAAATATAATATAACTTGTTTTCTAAAACTTAGTAATCTTTCCTGTTTGCCAAGATTTTCGACTTTGTTTGATACACAAATGTGACTTAAATGACGTCACACTGCATAATGCGTTTTACAGACGACTATTTTGTAGGTTGTTAAAATTCTCATTATCTCAAATTAAATGGCAAGGAAACGTTTTCTTTCTAAAAACTCATTATGCAGTATGACGTCATTCAAGTCACATATGCATGGATATCAAACAAAGTCGAAAATCTTGACATACAGGAAAGATTATAACGTTTTAGAAAACAAGTTATATTATGATTTTAAATGAACTTTCCAATTCAATCATAAAAAAATTGTCGCATAGGCACTTTAAATGTTCGATCTAAAACTAAATATATTTTTGGATAATCTCTTCCACTATCTTTATCAAAAAGCATATTGATTTATTGAACAACAATTTATGGCATGAAGATTTGCCGATATCAAATTTAATTAGTTTTAACCAGTGAAAAACAAATTTTAAACCTGCTCCAAATGGCAAGGGTTATCAATTAGTAATTCAGATCTGTCCAACTCCGAAATGTATTACCCTTTGCATGTCGCGAAATTCGATCTCGAAATTATCTTTTCTTTCCAGCGTACAACTAAAGAGTACTTTAGTAAACGCCGATTTACACTAGGCAACTTTTTCTAGTCGCATGCAATATGCTTAAAACTTGGTTTGTACTCCGTAAATTAAGCACACGACTCGCTACGTTGTCGCGGGTGAGTTGTGTCCTTGATTTGCACTTTAGTCTTTATAATTCGAGCTTTATACAAAAGTTGTGTTGTGTAAATTGGCCTAAAAGAGGTTATCCTAAACAATATATTTAGCTTTGTGTCGATCATTTGCAATCGAGGCAAGGTTTTTTAGGTTTTTGCCTTTCAGTCATGACAGTAGTTCAAAGTATTCTATCAAACTACCTTAAACTAAACAATTCGAAACTCAAGTTTCCAGACGATTATAAACAACAATTGTGAAATGTTTGCATTCCCTCGAGTCCAAAATTTCAACTGAAATTACGGCCTAAAAATAAAAAGAAATTAACGAAGGCAACAGGTGATTCCAGCTATAGACTAAATTTTGATCTCGGCAAGAAGAACAAAATCCATCACCACATAACGTAGGTGCTTTTCCTCCTTTTTGGGGGGGAGGAGGAGCTGAAGAGGGGAGGAGGGAGGTGGAGTGGTGGGCATAGGTAATTAGTATTCATATAGAGGGCGGTGAAACGCGCTGATGTCGCGCTGATCGATGTGTGATGCGGAAAAGGACTGGCACGAGCATGCTTTCCGGAAAAAGTTGATATGGAGCGTGATTTTTCCTGCTGTTGTATTTTGGCTGTTTTTTCATTAACGACCAAATTCTTGAGGATGTTCTCGCACTGTAACGACGAAGTAATAACTAGTGGATCGTATGAATGCTTGTTTGGCCTGTATAGTTTAATTTTGAAACTAAATATTGAGGATAACGAGTCGGGCTTTTGATGACTTCAATGAAGTGAAATTTTCAAAACAGCATTTGGGCATGTTATCAAGTCGTCCAAACTTATTTAATTCCGTTGATGGTAAAGATATCCAAACGTTTTCATAAGACTCGGAGTTGAGAAATTGAATATACAGCGTTGGAAAGTGAGGTATATTTTTGTGTTAAATTTTGCCTCGTTAGACCATTATTTCGACCATTTTTTTGGCCATGTCAAGATTTTTTGTTATTATGTCAATAATTTTGTACGACTTTTAAGGCATTCAATTGAAGTAAATCTTAGCCGTTAAACATATTTTACTTCTTGGCCATTGAATCAAAATAGGACTCGCTCGAACGTTTGTTTCGCGCAATAGTCGAAAAAGTTTCGTCCCAACATTGATTTTTTTTGATCGGCTGGCCAAGACAACTTCTCGTACGGATTCGTTAAAAAAAATACAGTTTCAAGTTAAGCATTTCTTGATTTTCAACTAAAAAGATGAACTAGTGAAAATTAATTGTGAATTGTATTCTATCGAACGTAAACGATACGTGTACATACGAAGAGTTTTAAAAACCTTTCACGTCATGCTTCTTGCGAAAGCAATCGTGCGCAAGCTTTCGCAAGCGTTTTGAGCAAAAACTCTAAAAGATTGGCAGTATTACCTGAAAATACAATAGCAGAATCTACTAAATTATTGTATAACATCAGAATTTTAACCCCAATATCTATTTCTGTTTGGACAAAACAGTCCAAACTTCCAGCTCAGTTTTCCCGCCATATTTGGAAAAAGTCAAGATTTTTCTTCATGGTTCCACGAATTTGGATATGTTAAGCCCGCCGCACACGAGAGCAACTTGCTGAGCTAACCGCCTCGCGAGGCGGTTAGCTCAGTAAGTTGCTCTCGTGTGTGGATAGTTTTCATGAGGATTTGACCTCTCGAGGCCTTGAGGAAAATATCTATCGTGTTTGATATTTTTGGCCTCGCGAGGAAAAAATCTCAGCGTCTGCGGATGTTGTGAGCTAAGTGCTGAGCTGTTTGAATCAATTAGCCAATGACAAACCATGGTTTCTTCATGTGAATGGAACAAAATGGAGGAAAATGCAAATGATTTTGTCAATAATGTTGTTGTTGAGTAGTTTTCCCAACGTGTGCGGTGAAAATACATAGCTGAGCTAGTTGCCTCGCGAGGCGTTTAGCTCAGCAAGTTGCTGTCGTGTGCGGCGGGCTTTAGATAATCTGAATCTTTTTATGTTTGTTCAACACTACTATGGATGTGTTAATCTGACTGATAAGGACATTATTTTTTTTACGTCGCCATAGTAACCACAACAAACTCGTTACCAGTTCATTGCATCACACATCCATCGGCGCGCCTATATTGCCGTTTCACCGCCCTCTATATAACTAAATAATAATAGTTTTATTGATCTATCTTTAGTGTAAAAATACAATGGATTTACAGTAAAAATCTAAGTAGTAGTCTAGTAGTTATATGTGCAGATAAAAATTGTAGGAATAGTACGTTATAAAAATATTGTCTATAATAATGAGTTTGTTCTGGGAATGAACGATAGTTCATGCACTTTAGTGTATGAGAAAATTCCGGGAAGAGTTTTTGGTGTTCTTAGGTCATACTTGTTCGTCACCATGTCTGGTATGTACTTCCTGCATGGGTGTGTTTCGTCATTAATGATTTTCTCGTACTCGCGAATTGAAAGTTTATCCCGACGTTGTTCTAGAGATTGAAGAGAATCAGGAGGTAGACCCAAAATTTTCAGGCTTCTATTCTGGATACTCTCCAGTTCGTCAGTAAGGTATTGTGGCAGGCCACCCCAAATTGGGGCAGCATATTCCAAAACCTGTCTTAATTTCGATTCATAGCACGTCAAACCCACATTAGTTGGTAGATCTGCTCGACGACACTCTCATAGGTAGAATAAGCGTTTGTTTGCCCTTCTTGCAATTTCGTCAATGTGGGTGTTCCATTTAAGGGTATTGTCAATCCAAAGACCTAGCAACTTGAATGACTTTACTCTTTCAATTGTATCATCGCCAATTTGATTCCGGAATTGCAGCTTTAAAGCAGATCCACATGTCTTTCGTCTTTTTCGCGTTAAGTTTCATCTTGTTTCTATGTGCCCAGTCGTTTATTGCATCGAGCACCTTTTGCATGTTGCTAGTAGAACCGTATGTAATCACTTCTTCTTGAGTGCAGTCATCTGCGTATTTGTGCGTATTGATGTCCAGATAATTGGGAATGCAGTCTTCGAGGTCATCCACATGACCATTAAACAATGTTGGTGATATAACAGATCCCTGGGGGACTCCGAAGGGCAAGGCCTTATAGATGACAGAGCACCTTGTAATTTTACTTGCTGACTCCTCCCTTCTAGAAAGCGCCGTGTCCATAGCCAGAAGCTTTTCGACACGTTCATTTTGGCGAGCTTCCTTAAAAGCAATCCGTGATCCACCAGATCAAATGCTTTGCAAAAGTCAATAAATAGGGCGTGGATACCCATTCTTCCATCACGTGAGTTTTCAGTCTTGTTGAACCAATCTTGGGTGATGCTCGCCAGTGCAGATACAGTTTATCTACCGTGTGTAAATGCATGTTGATTGTCCCTGATCTTAAGGTCCCCTTTGTTTAATTTAAGTTGGATGCTTTCTAAGACTTTAGCCAATTGCGGTAATACTGAGATTTGGCGAAAATCATTATCCATGTCATTAGGAGGGTATATTTTACCAATGCGTGTTTATATAGGGTTGGGTATTTAGCCTGGGAGATGCTAGAGCATATGATGTTATGAATAACAGGGGCAACAGAGATTAAAACCAGGAAAAATAATTTCTATACCCCAAAAATCCATAACTTGCGAAAAGACGATGTCCGTCAATGGTGGCACACTATTAATTAACACAATGTCAGGTAGAGCGAAAAGTCAACCTTAGTTTACAATTGAGCGT